TTATTTATATAAGACCATATGTTCCGGCCTTTTCCACAAAGTAGCCTACAAATAAACTAGCAGACTCTCAATTACAAACATCGTGCAGTCACATACAGTGCACACACCAGTGACTTCACCATTACTGTCTGCACATATGTCCACTATAACTACACAGGTGTAAATAAGGTGTGTGATGTTCAGGTCACAGATGAGGTCTGTTGTCATGTCTTGTTCAGAGTCAGTTCATGTGTGATGACAGGTATGCAGCTAAAGGGTGTTTCCATTAACAGACAACCTCCAAACAGGTCAGAAGCTCGGAGCTACAGACAGAAGTCTTACCCAGCTGACAGCCCACGTTCCAGTAGAACTGCGGGTTGAAATTGGACGAGTCGATGCGATAGGCCGAGGGATAAATCCGTGACAGCTGCCTCTGGTTAAAAGCCAGGAACTGTTCGGTTTTGTGATTCACCAGAGACTGAGCTCTGGTCTCGCTGAATGACAGGACGTCACCTGGAGTACCTTAGGAGGAACAAGGGCTGGGCATCAGATAACATCTTCAGGGCGAAGACTGCAACATGTTTATTACCTCTGCAAAGGTGGTCATGTTTTTGGTTGTTTTTCATACTGAAAAATACTGGTGCAAGAATGAGGTGTGGGTCAGGGAAGAAACTATATCCAGCATTTCAACATTGCAAGATACAGCAACATTTTTGTTGATTTCTCACAGAATAATTCATGAAAATATGAAAAAAATTAAAACATGCGTGCTATTTCTGTGTGTGCAGTTAGTACAGATCCAAATATAAATCCAATTTAAATGTGTTTTCATTAGGGGATTGTTGGGCATTTCTAGTTGGCTTGTGTGTGTGTTCAGGTGACAAAGCTTTGTTGTTTCACCTTCATTGAGGCACTCTTGTGAGGCGACGGAGTTGGTGAACACCACCAGGTTCGACAGATCTCTGCTCAGTTTCATTGTCTTCCTCTTCCTTCCACCCCTAACACAAGAGAAGGCAGAGGAGAGCAGGGTAAAGGTAAATGAGATATACATGCACTCGCTCATATAACCACTTAAGTATTTACTGGGGCCAAAACATAGCAGGCAAGAGAGGACTGTCCATCAGAGAGGCAGCAGGAAAGAGCATCAAAGACGAAAAGCTTAATAGAGACCAGAGCTCATTCATGTTCACGCACACCTATACACACACACGCAGTCTTGCACAAACACGTAGCCGCTCATGCACGCTCACAGGAATCTGTATTGTGAAAGATCCTGAGGACACGCATATATAAATATGCAACCAGGAACAGAGACTGGTTTAACAAAGAGACACAAAGCCCTTCAACACAGAGCAACCGAGGGAGGAAAACACAGCTGAATTTCCATATGTCTTGGCCAATGCAGAGACACAGAAAGACAAAGAATGGGTCTAAAAGAGAGTTGGGCGGTGTTCAAACTGCAGATGAACACTGATTCCTTTATTTCTTTTAATTATAAAATCCAACAAATCCACAATGATGCTTGAGGGAAGATGAGGGGCCTCATAAGTGGATATGTTCAATGGGAGAGTTAAGTGGATAAAATGCAGAAAAATAAAAAGTGGAAAAGGCAATGGTGTTTTTCAAGTAAAGTGTATTTTATACTACGGTATATTTCTATGACCCTTGATTTCAAAATGAAATACTGTGCTTTAACTTGACTGCATTTATATGACAGCTACTTACAACCCTTTGTTGGGATTAAGAGAAAAACATGAGCGATTTAATGATGTGGGTTTTTGTGATAGATTTAACAACCTAAACGTATGTAAAACAATTTGAGTGCTTTCCACCCACACCAACAAAAGCAATAAGTCTGGTTAACATGTTACAATCAGACTCTATATTAACGATCCAAGAGCATGAAGCAAGTGTATTTAAACGTCCAAATCCATTTTGTTCATTTGGCTCTGGAAAATGTTTACTGAGCCTCAGAAGGGTTAAACTAAATAAATCATAGATGTGTTATGTTTGAGTCAGAGGGGTGTTCCCTTCAAAAGCCAGATGTGCTTCCACCTTAATGGATTATAATAATCAGAGTGTAAGTATGATGTCCATCTGCCTATTATCATTATCTTAATAATTGAAAATACCAGTGAAATACTCTGCCATTGGATTCAGACCAGGTTTTTGCAAACACCTCCCACTGCCTCAAGATAGCAATCTGCCAACAATGCACACAGCTCAATTTAAGACCAACATGGCCTCAGATGGGCACAAGTACATTTACAATTCACAATTTATGAGCATATAATCACGTGAAACAAAGAATAATGTTGTTTTCATGACCTTAAAAAATAGGCCTTTATATCTACATCAGGAGGATGTCCTCTTCCACTGGGTCTCAACATGTTGTTCTGCCATGTCTCTCTATGTAAAAAATGCGACTTCATTGCTCACTACAATTAAATACTATATTATAGTGAAGTATTGATACCTTTATTACACTTATACTATACTTTTTACCAGTGGTTACAGAAGAATAACACGGCTGGTCTTAGGAAGTATGTTTAAAAATAATATAAGAACAGCTACGTTGGGATAAAATGTCCGTCTTTGACCATATTTCACATGATGAACTCCGCCATGAGTCACTGGAACTGCATGATGACACCACATGTGATTTCTTTTGTTGTGGCCTCAATTTCATTCATCCCGGGAGCTCAGGTCTGTAGAGTAGAGTTAAGTGACCTGCTATATTAAAATGTTTGTAAAGATGCAGGAAGGCACAAGACAGGGATGAAAGAAGTGATGGTTGTGAAGTAAAAAGAAAAAAGAATCAAAACCCCTGGAGACTCCCCCCCCCCCCTTGTCAATGGAAACTCCAGACTTGAAGTCCATATTTGTCAGTGATTGTCAGTGTTGTGGTGAAGAAGGTCAAAGGTCACCTGTTGAACTGTCCTCCAGCCTCCCGCCCAGATGTCTCCTGACCATCCTCATCCTTCTCCACGCTTTGGCATGACAGCCTGGATTTGGAGTGCCTCTGGAAAATGTACACACAAACCAACACACACAATTACATCATTATAATTAAAATGATAATTTGCTTACTGGTTGGAGAAGCAGAAACTCATTTTCTATATCCTTCCAGTTTAAATTCTGACACACACATGAAACCACCTACACACAAACACAGTATAGGAGATCTCTACAGGGAACAGACGGGTGCTGGAACGAGTATATAGTGTATATAGTATAATTATAGAGCGTGTTAGTGAAGTGTGTGTGTTCCTGAGAGAAGCAGCATCTCTATTAGAGTTAAAGTGGACTTGAGAAGAGAATGAGGGTTGCAGTAATTACAGGGTTTAGGCAGCTTGCCAACCGATTACATGCACCCATGCATGCAAATACATGCAGGCATGTGGGAGGATGCATGATATGCAAAAAGGGATGCATTAAAGAAAGAAGAGGAGATGTGAGTGGTTAAACCGAGGAAGGAGAGCAAATAAAGAAATGAAGTCAGAATGGGAAATTACAAGGCTGAGAATTTTAGGGGAATTGAAGAAAACATAAAAACCTGCAACAAAAACAACCACATACAAACAGTGATGCCTAACCAAATAGTATACAGTAAAACCAGTGAATTGAATTGTGACAACTGGAAAAAGGGAATAGAAAAAATGTATTTAAACACAATTCTCATTTGAAGCATTTCTCTTATAGATCTACACCATCATCAAGCTTCCTGAGGGACAAACACATACCTCAGAGATGATCTACACCAACACTGCACATTTTATGGACCTGAATGCTTAATTCACTGATATGAATAATGCATGCGTTCACTGCATTCAGCGGCTGTGTGGAAGTGGAAGATAAGTGTGGCAGATTTAATGAAGTACTTACCACATGCGGAGGATAGCTCGACAAAAGGTTATTAGTTTTTGCATTTTTGGTGTGATTTAAAAAAAGGTCACTATGTCAATATTTTACTCATTTACAAACAATAAATAATATTATAATGTTGAGTCAAAGACTTCTCTGTGTAGAGTGTGGCAGAGATATCTATCGGAGTTGAGGACCAGGCACTCCCAGTGAACCACTTTGTACCTCAAGAGCTGAAAGTGAGTCACTGTCCATCTCAGTCCAATATGAGAGGATGAAGCTGTAGTAACTGTCATTAAGCTAAAAACCTCTGTTGATGTCATCCTCATATTGCATGGTAACTCCTCTCCTACGTCCCTCACCCTCTTATGGCTCGTCTTCTACTCCTGCCACAACTACATCATCCCTGTTAGTGGGCAGACAGTCTAACAATAACCAACAATAAACCCTCTGCCAGTTACATTATCAGATTGAAGGGAAAACCGGTCTGGAACAAATTACTCCCCAATCCATGCAGATTTGGCAAAATTTGCACAACTGCCTAATGGTCAGGTTAGATTTGTTCAAGCCCATTTTAGCTAAATGTGAGAATAAAGGCTGAAACTTGGTTGTGAGTGGTCACTAAGCTCAGTCCTGGTCAGACACAGGACACACACTCAAGCGAAACCACAAATAACAGACAACGTTTTAATTACCGTCTGTCTGTTTGACTGTTAAAGGATTAGGCAAAAGTTGGCAATTTGATTTTCTTGGTGGAAGGATGGGACATGGGCCAAGAAATAACCTGTTAATGTTTAGCATGGATTCAGACAAAGGGGCGGATCCAGACATTTCTTATCACTTTCTTTAACTTTGCAAGATATGGCATTTTTTGGATCATAATGGCACATTGCTATTATGTATGAGTGTGCAGTTTGGTGTGGCTTGATTGAATTTAATGGGACTCTTAGGCTTTGGCGGACGCTCTCTATTGAGTGCCATTCTAATTTATTGGGTTTCCAGCAACTTTGGCTCTGCCAAACGTTTTCAGCGTCTGTTAGTCTCATTGACAATGTTAATAAGATGGCAACGGTTGGTGATTGAATGCTGACTGACTCTTCTGCAGAGAGAATCAGGGATTTCACCAATTTAGTGAAGGTTTACCAAAGTCTGACAGACACCATTGGTTGTTTGAGGCCAGTTTAGAGTCCTAACAGGATGTCAGGTAAATAAAATAAAGATGTTGGATACTCTTCAAGGTTTCAATGCCACCCAAACTGAAAGTGAACCAACCTGATTTTGAGATTCTAGAATCCACACAAATAGATCAAGAATCAGGCAAAAAAAAGAGCTATCTTTGTTTTGATGCTTCTTACCTTCTGTTTGAGAGTCGTGATGAAGGATCTGCTTTGGGATTTCTTCAGAACCCCTCTGGAGCTCTGGAGAAAAAGGAGAAGACACAAGGAGAGTTGAGCGCGTGCATGTGTGTGCTTGTTTACATTCATGTGTGTGGATTATTTGATGTGAATCTAATAACAGCCACATTGGAACTAAGTGAGTCACTTAAACCCTTAAGCTCAATAGCTTGAGGGGCAGCAACAGGCATCATCCAATAAAGCAGAGCACAGCTGAAGAGGAGAGTGGGTGAGAAAATATGGGAGAAAAAGAGAAAAACAGAAAAAAGACAAATTACAGTGAGGACGGAGACAGAAAACCTTTAGTGACAGGATGAAGTGAAGTGTATCACCAACAAAGCAGGAGCAGAATAAATAGAATAGGGAAAACCCAGATGCACAAAACCCACGACATTAAAATGGCTGTCAGGAAACTGAAGCTGCTAAAAATAGCAAAAGAGGCAAGCAGGGAAATTAAATATTAAGTAACACTGCAGACATTTTGTTTCTCATCACTTTCAGTCTGTTTTGACATGGTTTGGATGAAACACCAACCATGTAGGGTAGAAAATTCACGGCCCATTCAGAGTGGCCTGAGGAACTGCTGCTTGTTTGTGCGTTTTTGTGCATCTGTTCACTGGGTGTGACCTTTGAGTGCTGCAGTAACTATTCTACTCTACTATTTTCTGCTTTTCCCTCCGTGACTAATACTGTGGCCTAGTTTCATGCTCCCTCTCTTCTCTTTCTTCTCTCCGTCTGTTCAAGAGTATTACTATGCTCCATATGCAGCACTACACGTTGCCTCAGGGCTGTACCTGCCGCAGGTTTTTTTGGAGGCCCTGGTGCGTGGCTCGCAGCAGGGCTCGGATGCTGAAGCTGTCGGTGTCTTCCTTGTCTCCGATGCGAGACTCCTTCAATAGAGAGTCCAGTTTCTTCCTGATGTGAGACTCCACCTGGTGGTGACCGTTTCCCTGTGTGAAAGACAAGAAAATAATAAAGAGTAATGTGGTTTTAGGACAAACTCAACAAACACTTCAGTCCGACCTGTACTCTCAGACCAACCAGCACCATCTTTTGATGTGCGCCATCTGCAGGCAACAAAACTAAATGCTGATGCAAGTGTTACTTCAGCGAATATCCCTTGTTGGTTTGATGGTTTTCAAATTTGATGGTTTTCTGCACAATTTAAGTTACCAACTACCATTAGATGTTAGCAGCTGTTAGCGGCCGCCAGCAGATGATAGGACATAACCTCAGTCGTGCACCTTCACATTATCAAGTGTTTCAACCTTGTTATCAACGATACGAACTTGAGGGTACGTTGAGGCTTAAGGTAAATCCGACTACTGGCTTGTATGGCAGTGCTATGAAAGCCATGTGGCCGCTCAGTAGATCAGACATCATTACCTCTATGCCTTTTTAAACTAAACACTGTCCCATTTCAGAACATAAAACAAGATGGAGAGTGTCCCTTGTATGCTCTACTGCACCAATTAATGTCTACCACCAGTAGATGTTATTGGATGTTCGTGACCACCAGCGGATGATGGTCACATACTAATCTTCATCATTTGTACCATTAAATCAGGTGTAAAGTTGCACCTGCTTCTATCTCAAAACTGCTACAGCAATTACTACCCTGTACTAAAGGTGGTGTGGATGTGTACAACAGGTCTGATAATCAGCTCCCCCTTGTGTCAGTGAGCAATAATCAGCTCATGATGTATGTTGCAATAAAATAAAAAAACTAAATCATGTTAAAGAAGAAAACTTTCGCTAATAGAGGAAAAACAACAGAAATGTATGACATCGGATACAGGAAGAGAGAACATTATACACTTTTTTCCACAGCCAAATAAGTGGTGACTGCTGTGAAAACATGCTGCTTTAATGAGCTCAATACAAAACCTCTCATTAGTGAAAACCTGCCACCACCCCTTTAAAATGGCGATGATCATCCAACGTGGCATCTGCACTCTCATGCTTCCAGCTAAATGTAGAAGAACGATTCCATTTTTGGCACAGCTGAACAGTTTGGAAGAGAACTGAGTGTTTTCCTGCTTTAAATGTGATGAGGCTGATCTGGCACTACTGTACACTACACAAAAATGCAAAGGAGTAAAAATAACTATAAAAACAGAACTTGGAAAGTTGATCTGCAGCATGTGGCGTTGATATGGTCTGACATTTTTGCATATCGCTCTGATGCTTATTTCTTTAAAAAACCCAGCAACTTCAAATTCTTCAAGGCTTGCACTGATGTCATTTTTGGTTCTGCATCATTAAGCATTGATTATTCCAAAACATTAAAGACATTGATGACCAATAAAACAAGCACCAACATTACCACCCAATTACTAAAGCCATTATGTCGAGTACAACAATATCATTAAGATCCCATTATCCACCCTCTGTTTGTGGCGCATGTATGTGGAGGAACGAGTGTTATTCTTTTTTTTTTTTTGCCTTTTTTTTTAAAGGATGTTGCTGCTGCTTTATTCGTCTCGATGAACAGATTAAGTAGCACCAAAAAAAACTGACATTTTCCATGAATGTGAGAGAACTACGAGTTGCATCTGACATTTTCTGGAACCCCAAGTAAACCGTCCAGAAAATGTCCAAGTAAGCCTATGTGGGAATACAGTAGGATGCTGTAAAATTCACTTTGAACGAGTGGGCGAGTTTTAGAAACGAAGTTTAAGAACATCTCAGGATGAAAAAGGGGCGCGTAAATATAGAAGATGCAGACAAAGATGTCGAATTAGAAAGACAACAAGATTTGAGGCCTCTTGGTGATAAGAGCTGACGCCGGTGACGATGATTTTATACATCATGTGCTGCCTCCTGTTGAAATGTTTCAGACATTTTCAAGCGATCTTGTCTGAAAACGGCTATGGACACACAAAAGAAAGTTGCCGTGACAGAGACAAACAGAGGTTTCAGAAGACAGAAAGGTCTTTTTTATATCTTTATATTCAATATTTGACCGAGAGGAACAAAAAACTTGTTGAAATCGAGGAAGAAAGACCTTAACAATGTAAATATATTTGTCAGTAACCTCCACGGTGGTTATTAAAGCAGTCATGATATTTGTGTCTACAATCCTCTCTTACATTCTTGAGCTTGAAGTCATCCTCAATTTCATCAGCGCTGTCATCATCCGATACTTCCCCTTCCTCTGCGTCGGCAGACAGATAGGAAGGCAGACGTTTTCCCTGGAAGGAGAGACGACAGAGAGATCAACAAAGCAACAAACACGCAAGACAACCCCTGTTTCATCTCTTGTACACAAGGATGCCCACACAGGTCGCACCTCTGACACAGTCCAAGAACCTTAAAGTTAGAATTAAATAAGTTTCACTCAGACAATCACAGGCCTGATCAAGCAAAATAAAAACCACAAACACACTTTAAAGTTAAGTCTTCTTTCATGGGCCTCCTTTACCAGTATTTACAGGCATGACTGAAAACCATTACTGACACATTTAAATACACAGGAAGACACAAGACACAAACGCATGGAAACACAAACACACACACAGAATGCACAATCAGCGGCAGATTCTCCGAGAAGCTCCCCGGGCAGCTTTATCAGCCGAGTGGAAGCCCATTAGTGAGCCATTCTGAAGGTGTGAGTAGGCGTAAAGATTTTCTCAGCTTCTTCTTCAAAAAAAAATCAGTAACAGGCTCAGAGCTTCCTGCACACAGTTGAGTCTTTTACTAGCTGACATCACCACCCTCGCTCCAACCACCGCCACGAGCAGTGGGTCCCCCACGTCCCTGTCGCTGTGTCTGTTAAAAACCTTTCTCCGCTGACTTGTGACTCTCCGTTCTCTCACTCGGCAGAGGTGAAGGGCTCTCAAACAAGGGCAGCGAGGGGGAGGAATAGGATGGAGGAAAACTGTTAGAGAGGCGTAAAGGGCTTTATAGAAAATCAATGATGCTCTATCACTTTTCAGACATCTGGCCGGGGATGGACAAAGCCAGAGCTCCTTTTCTGTGGGAAAGCTTTCTTCACATAAAAAGATAAAACATTTTTGCTTCTAATAAAAGACAATAAATGCTGAGAGCTTTTGCTCATCCGCCTGCTCTCTCCTGTCTCTTACGGTTTATTTTTGTTAATAGCTCCTCTTGAGCTGACGGATGAGGATCATCGGGGTCTGAGGCTGTCAAGGTGAGAGCTGATGTTAAATAAAATAGAATAAAATAAAAGGGACACATGTTGGGTTTTCCTTCTTTTTGAGGTCATCTGTATCAACTGTTTCCCAGATCTAACTGGGCACCTGTCCTGCCTCATGGGAATACAAAGGTGAATGATATTTGGGTTTGGTTCTGGTTAAATTAATCATTTGAGTAGGGGGCAGATTTAAACAAACTGCATCTGAGCATAGAATGAACATAAAGATGGACGATATGACTGCTCCCTGAAAGTGATGTTGGCTAGCTGCAGTATAGGTCATAGATCAGGCCTCCTCCACGTTAGTAGATAGGACATGGGCCAAACTAAAAAGTCAACGTTTCTCAAAGATGATTTCTGTTATTGTCGCACTGATGTATGTTCCAGTAAGTTTGGTTTAGTTATTTAAAGCTAAAAAATGAGTGAAACGTGGTGATAGATGCTACAGGAGCTGCACAGACTCCAGCTCCAAATGTGAAAAATGGCAGCATTTGTATCCAGGATTATTTCAGCTTTAGTTCTTGACAGTAAGAAAAACGGTCATGCATCTTTATATGTCCATCATTCGGACGCCCTCACACGTGAAACATGTGGCCCAAGCTGCCATCTCTCACCATGCTGTGCTTTAGACTGTGTCAAAATAAGGTAGCTACAGCATTTCTGCTTTAACAGCACCAAGGTGGGAAGGTGACAGATTACACTGTTACACTCTGAAATGCATAACAGTGCAGAAAGGCTTTAAAAATGTACCGTGTCCTCCCTGTTGTCATGTTATATTACAGCAGATCAGAGCTGTAGCGATGTCACTTTATAAACATGGAGATGTTTTAATGGTTTTACAGGAAGGAAGTCACCTGGACCAAAAACATAGAACTGAGATGCTCCACTCACGACACACACATTGTGGGTGTGACTTCATTCTCATGCATAGGACACCATAACTCCACTATGTCTTTACATAAAAAATAGTGGTTGGGTGTTACATAAATGTTTAAAATCTAGTATACATAACCTTTAAGTGTGCCAGGGGGACTGTGAGGACTGAATATATGTGATGCATTAAATTTCATACTGTATGATTTATCAATCGTTTTGCCTGTTGCTTGTGCTATAGTAATTTCTTTTGTTTTGGTTGAATGAGGGAATTAGAGGGTATAGTATTCATTGTATATTTTTATTGACTTTCAACATTCATCAGTTAATTATACTTAACTGCAGAATATTTTAATTAATAGCATATAAAAATAAGTCCTCTGTGTCACAATGACGGTTGTGTCTGTTTGTTTTGGGGGTTTTTTATGCATGAGTTACAAGGGAAGCTGCCGCTCTGTCATCATACACAACTTTCGTGCCCTTCTCTATGAGTAATACAACGACCTAGTTTTATCCTCCGTATCTCCTCCATCTGTTAATGGGCACTAATTATCTGCCTCTCTATGCATTTTCTAACCCCCCATCCTAAGTTTACTTATATGAATAAAATATATTGAAATATGGTTCTCACTTTTCCATGCTGAAATATACAGAAAATCTAGAGGTGTGATGCAGCCATATAGCAATTTGATAAACTATTTATATTTGCCATTTGCTTGTGTATAACACATTTACTGTCAACCCCCATCCATCCTTCTCTCTACTGATTTGTTCTTACTTTGATGAGTATCTTGCCCTGCAGGCTGAGAGGACTGGGTAATGTTTTGGAGTCTCTGCTCAGCGCGTGTCCCACGTCAAGTTTGTCTCCAAAGATTTCTCGCAGGTACTGAGCAATTTTCTTCTGCTGATGGATGCTACAGTGGTTCTCTATGGACAGAATCACCGGGTACCTGAGGAAAGAGAAACACATGGATTAATACTCATGAAGCATCGCGTTAGTTCATGCAGGACACAGAGTCATGTGCTCAGCTGTCAGCTACCGATAGGTTATGGGTGCTCGTCAGCCACCCACCAATCACAGTCCATTCTCTTACCAAAGCACCCCTTTAAATACGACCTCATCCTCACTGATCCCTGCTCAGCTACACTGCCACCCATGCCTGCTGCCGGCAACTTGCCTCCACCACCCCAGCCTCCACCTTTTAGCACTGAGTCCAAACGGTCGTGGTAAACGATATTCATCTTAAAATAATGTACATTGCCTGCTAAACCCAACAGGAGGTTCTGCACATGTTACCTGTTTTATCTTAGCATGCTGCTCGGCTAATCCAGGGAACAGCCAAAGAATGGAGCATTCAGAGCCAATCATAGCTGTATCCCCATTTGCAACAAATGGGTAAATCATGACATAGTGTTCCTGACTGAAATTCAATTAAACTTAAAAAAAATGTGTCATGAGCGTCTATAAAAAAATGGACGACATGACAGCTCCCCAAAAAGTGAAGCCAAAGAGCCTTGATCGCCCCCTGGTGGCTGGCTAAAGTATAGATTATAACCCCTCCCCCTAATCCATGTTAGCAGAGAAAACAAGTCAAAGTAGATGTTTAATTAATTTTTCAGGTGCTTTCAGTCATTTTCCATCTCACACTGATGTATGTTCAAGTGCTCCACCCCCCCAATCGCAGACTCTGGCTCCACATGTCCAAGATGGCAATGTTCGTATCTGTGATATTTTGGCTTCATTTCTGGACAGCGGCAGGAAGTGGAGACACATCGCCCATTTTTATAGATCTTTATCCATCTTAAGCTTTGACCGTTTCATTTTGATGGTCATGAGCCAGTAGACTTAAGTGAGCTATGAGACTGGATCACATTTCACTTTCTTTTCTCACCTCTAACCAACGGAATAGAGAGGTAAATGATAAAAATACAGCTACCTGAACACCTCTTCACCTCTGTGGCACGGTGTGTGTGTGGGTGAAGCTTGTGCCTTTGTCTGTCTTTTCATTTAGAAAAGGTGAAATGACTTGTGGCCACACAGCGTAGCAGCTCAAATGTCAGGTTTGTCAGACTGACAGCTCTCCCTCAGGGGACGCAGCCCTGCTCTCACCTCAACCTCTGATCCCAAAAATATACACTCACATCCCCACACACTCGCTTTTACCGGGTCCAAAAGGAGACGACGCAGAGCAACACCCAGAGTCATTTCATTTCGACACACGGTGGGCTGGTTCAGTGAGCTGTATAATGTGTGTGTGTGTGTGCATGTGTTGGAGGGAGAGTCGAGACTTTCTCTATTTCAAAACAGCCCAGGGACCATTAATCATATTAATAGGAGGCACTGATGATAAAATATCTGTGTGAATGTACAATGTGCATGTAAATGGTGAGAACAGCAGAGAGAAGAAACAGCAGTCACCTTTATTACAGACGACTGATTAATAAGATATCAGTTTAATATGCAGGTGTTTCTTAATTAGCAAGTGTTAATGTGAGGGAGTAAATTAACAGAGTAATACAGGGACCTATAGCAAAGTTACCTTGAGAAGCAATAAAAAAATCATTGACTAAAATTATCTCAAGAAACCAGGGAGTATTTGGCATTTTCGCCCGTGAAGGTTCTTTAATAATTAATTGTTTCAGCTCTAATCTGAGGCACACATAAAGTCAAAAATAAAAAAAAAATGTAAGAGGAAAAAAAAATGTAAGAGGAAATTAAGTCAAAAGACATAGCAGACAGCCATTAAAGTAAAAAGGATTTTTTAGAAGTGAATGCGGTAGTTTATATGTGTCTCAAACTGGGTTGTCTTTATGTTCCTAGATTAATTGACTGTTAATCTATTTTGTCAGGTGATTGATTGGTGAAGGAAGATGGCAGTCATTACAATGTGTACTTTTGCCAAATCTGTCTCGTCAGCAGAAAAATATAATGGGTTGTTTCCTGTCCCATGTCGCATCCTTTCATCCAAGTTTTTTTGGTCATCCTTACACTAGTTTATCTGTAATCTTTCTCACAAAGAAACAATCAAATTGAAAAGAGTAATAAACAACCACAAATTAAATTGACAGTTTAAAATTAAATTAGGGAATGGATGTAAAATCTTAATGTGGAGTTGGCGACGAGGGCCCGCTCAATATAGCCCCACTCCTTTTCTGATTACATAATTTACCCCGATACTGTTTGTACCTTTCAATAAAGTGATGCTTTTAGAACAGAGCGACTGCCGTCATAAGTAGCTGCAATAAAGGGTAAGTGAGCCAGCACAGCAGCAGGAAGCCACATCATTCACCACTTTGTTTGGGTATTGTTGGACCCAGCAGAGACAAACAGTGACTCCTCCGGGAGCCAGAGGAAACACAGTGAAGCAGATGGTTCACTAATAGGTGCTAATTACTGCCAGGAATCACAGCGTTCTCTGGAAAACACAACCCTGGCTTTTCTTTTTTTACTGCTTGCAACTTTCTTGATTTACCTTATTATAAAATGCACTGATATTTTTATAACAGCAAGAAAAATTCTACTTTGAGACTTGGAGGGTTGGGGCTACTGTGGCTTTTCTCATCGCTCATGCAGCAACACAATTAAACAGTAGAGGACAATATAGACCCAATATGGCAATTTCTGTGTAATTGTGTGTGCACATGAAAAAATGCTGTACCGTTTGTCCCGAAGCAAAGCGAAAATGATTTACTTTACAGAACCACACCTGATGTTTCAGTCAGCTTTTTATATGTGAGAATAAACTGAAGAGGAAGAAATAAGTAAAATGGAATTTCTGTTTGGTATTCAAGCCTATTTTTCTACCACAACAATACCTATGGGAACACAGAAGTGTCTTGTTTCCATAACTGTCAGCAACAATCATGTGCAATTGTACACACACACACTGTCCCATAGGGATCTTTGACTCACTGGTTATTTATGAAGGCATATTTATTGATGGTCTCTATGACAGATTTGAACGGTATCTTGGAGGTCAGAGTGTAGCCGTGTTGGACCACTGGCTCTCCATCAGGACCATCCCAACAGTCCACTACAGGAAGAGAAACAGAAGAAATGATGCATGAATATGGAAAACATTTATGCCACATTTATGACCTTCTCCATCAATCACAATAGGCCATTAAAATGTCTGTGTTCTATGATGACATGACAATTCAAGGATAAATAAATGGTATTCAGCTAACATTAATTTCAGTTTTTCGCATCCTATCCTTTTACGACTGCGCTGAGTAACAATGTACCAACACAATCACATTAGTGTTAAGCTGCATTCAAATGTAAACGCGTGCTCACCCTCTACGCAACGGCAGCCGGACTGCAGCACCCAGGCGTACATGTCCGTCTTAGAGTGAGAGAGAAGCTGGTCACCGGTCAGGTAGGTGTTATGAGAGGAGGCGATGAAGTAGTTACAGAGCGGCTGCTCCATGTCTTGATTCACCTCGTGGTGCAAAGGGTTGAAAATGTCACACGTTGGACTGCGCATGAAACTCGTGAAACCTGAAGATAAGACAAAGAAACAAGTGATTTCAAAATGTATTACAGAATTTAACTGTTTCCAATATCTTGCAATGGCTCCATGAATGGCACCATCAGTCAATAAAATCTCAATAACTATTGACATTAATGTTTGTACAGACATAACTGTTCCCTGACGGTGAATCCATCATTTGACATATCTCAAGATCTATTTGATATATTGGCACTTACAGCAATCCTCCTCAACTGTAATTTGTGTTATTGGTTAGCAAATACTAGCATGCCAACATGCTCAACTAGCATAGTGATCACACGGGCTGTATATAAAGATGAACAACATGACAGCTTCCAAAAAGTGAAGCCAAACTATCTTGATTGTCCCCATTAAGGTCATTAGCCCGCCTCCTCCATGTTGATGGATGGGACATGGACCAAATTAAGAAGTCAAATTATCTTACAGATACATTTTTGATGGTTTCTGGCATTAATTATGTTTAAGTGTTACATTTTCTGGTAAGTTTGGTAAATAGCCTAGCTATTAGATGCGACAAAAACAAGGTGAAACATCATGATTGGTCAAGAATGTTAGTAGGATGAGCATATAGCAGCTCCACTCTATCATCACGACTTTGACTTCAAATGATGTCACCAAGGCAAGATGGCAGCCCCCATTGCTGGGTTATTTTGGGTTAGTTTTTGTAAAATACAGGGGAAAGAGTAGATGTGTCATCTATCCTTATATAGTCTATAATTAAGTCATTGTGAGCACATTTGCATGCTGATGTTAGCATCTGTTCTTTGGTCCCACAGAGCTGTTTATTGTAGAGTCTTATCCTTTTTACTCTAAATTAACGTATACAGATCCTGGTATCCTCAGCAGAGGTGATGATGGAACATAACCAAGTGCTTAAAAATTTTGCTGATCCTGAACTGATCCTGCAACAGATGTAAAGCAACCGATGTTTCCTGTTGTTTAAAAATAAGTGGCATATTTCTTTCTTCTATTTCAAGCAACCAGCTACCAGATGTTATCGCGCAACTTCTAACAGTGACACCTACAATATCTCTTCATCAGCAGGTTGAGCTCCAGGAAATAACAGGATCACAGACAAGCGCATTACAAGCACATTTCTGTGCATGAAGAGGAGTGGCAAAGAAGAAGGCATCCTTTCATCCAGGGGGGAGGAATGAGAATGAGACGGGAATACCAAGAGCAGGAGGAATCGGAAATAAGCAAGAAAGCAGATGAGAGGAAAGAGGCAGATGTGGAGAATCTTACTGTGAAGGAGAAATGGATGCAAATATGGGATAAAGTTTGTCATGATGCCATTATGGTAAAATCCAGAATTTAACAATACACTGTGTGACAAGAATATACTTATATGAACTCTACTGAAAACAGGATATACAGTCACACAAACATGAAGAGATCAAAAATTGTATCTCATCAGACTGTGCAACGTTGTGGCAGTATAAATCTGTTTGTACATTTCTGTCACATCCGTGCACATGTTTAAACACATACATTTCAGGCCTGCAGGGAGGCATCAGACATACTGGTGTGATCAGCCAGACACATACGGTGTTAGCCTTCATGCCTCCAACGACAAGATTAGTCGCGCTCCTCCTCCTCCTCCCTCCATCTCCTCTGCCTGTCCTCACTACTCCTCTCATTTTTGTCACACTCTCATTTTCTCTTTTCCTCCGCCCTCATTCTGGCTTCCCAATTTTCTCACTCCAGATACCCTCGTCAATCCTCATGGCCTCCGTCTCCCTGCAGCTCACTCCTCAGTTACATGTGGCATTAATGAAAATGACACTCAGAGATGAACTCTTTCCAGAGACATAATACTACAAAATCAATGTTTATTATTTTACTTTTGAGCCACACATTGTCAGGATTTCAGCTAAATTATAAAAAAACTGGGTTGATAATATTTTCAGTTTAGGTGAAAACAGTTGGTGATGAAATTGGTATTAATCTGGATTTAAATGTAATTTAATTAATGAAAAGATACATGTACTGTTTATTAAAATATAAACCAAGGACATATCTGGATCATTATCAAACATTTGCACCTCACCTTTCTTGAAGCCAAAGATTAGTTTAGTTGCATGGATGTAAATAGATATTTCTTCTTTGGTGTGAAAATCTGATTGTGTAAAATCATATGAATCTGGTAATAGAAACCATTCTGAATTAGTCTTCTATGAATACATGAACGTTGTATTGTCATTCGGGCTGGGAATGGTTCTGAACAATATTAAAAACCTAATTAATTAATGTATTAAAAAACAAGCTTAATTAGCTGTTCATAAGCCACATAATGGTTTCCACTCTGCTCTTATTGGCTGGCACCCAAGGTGAAAAATACACGGGAAGGAATCAGGGGAGTGAAACTAAAGCTGTGAAAAAGAAGATGGTGAAACCAGAGACATTTACCTTCAATCCCCATAACACCTCTTTGTTTATTCTCGTCAGACATCTCAAACTTGTCCACGATTTCAGCAACATACTCTGGAGTCACACTGGCTATCTGCAGAGAAAAACAAGATCAACAGTTTAGTCTGGTGTAGTTTTTTCCATTATCCATCTGTACTGCTTATCGTTTGAGGGGAGCAGGGGGACCCGGGAGCCAATCCCTGCTAACATTGGGTGAGAGGCGGGGTTTAGCCTGGACAGGTCGCCAGCGTCAAGTCAAGTCGAGTTAAAGGTTCAGTGTGTAGAATTCAGTGACCTCTAGTGGTGAAGTTGCATTTTGCAGCTGAATACCCCTCACCTCGCCCTCCCTTTCCAAACACGACAGAGAACCTGTGGTAGCCTTCAGCTGTCATAAAAACTCAAAAGGTGTTTTTTTTTTCAAGTTTGGATGAAAACATGGAGGCCTCCATATTGAGATTACCCGCTTCCTGTGTAAATATTGAGTATTTAAATATTAAGGACCCATTCTATGGTACAGAAAACAACAATTTGTATAACTTAAATGAGTGAAAACATCCCTAGGATTATTTCATATTCAATTTAATTTATTGATCTGAGACCATGCGCAAATACATACAGTAAGTCTCATACAAATTGAAAAGATGCATGAGCAGCTTTTCAATTATTTGTCCTGTTATTTTGAACACCAGATGAATATGTGAATGCCAGATTAAATTCTCAAACTTCAACATATTGCATTTACTTATAATACTGATGGTAAGGTGGTGAAAAATGCAGAGGGAAAAAAAAATTTTTTAGCAGACTCCTTTGGGCAGACAGCTGAGACAGACAGTCCTGAGTTACATAAAACTAAGGAGGTGGTGAATAGAAATATTTCTTCACTGTGGCTGGATATTAATGGCTGATTCAGGAGAAGGAACTTTGTCATAAATATACGTGTCAGCTTTAACATTTCATTGCCTCTAACACGAGACCATGCGTGACCGGTGTGACCTTTCACCTTCTGCTCGTTGCGCAGGAAGTTTGCCAGCTCCTCTGCTGTCAGGTGGTCCTTCCTGTCGCTGTACGCCATCATCAGCAGGAACAGGTCCCGTCTCAGAGACATCATCTTGTAGAAGACAGAGAACTCCTCGTACGTCAGCGTGCCCTGCTGGTCATCTGTGTCTGCCTCCTGTGAGGGTGAGGAAGTGTTACGTCTTATTAGTCCAAAACTACAAAAACAGACTAGGGGAAATTCAGCAAAACCCATTGCCAGCAGGGTGCTTATTATGTTTTTTTTTTATTCACACAGTCCTCATCTGAATCAACAACCATTGTGTATTATATGTCTCCTTCCTTTTAGAACCAATGACTTAAGATTCATGTCATCCATGTTCCTGACCCAGCAACATTAATGCAAAATAACTTACAGAAATATAGCAAATGATGATGCACCACCTCTTCCTCCCAAAATGAAACCAAAATATCTCAAATCCAAATGCTGCCATCTTGCACCAATGACGTCATTTGGAGCCAGAGTCTGTTCTGTAGTGATTGTGGGATAAAGTCGCAGCATCAAGGTGCCGCAGATACACATGCTCAAACAATCATGAGGTAGTCAGAAAAGAAGCAGAACATCAGACAAGATAAAAACATCTTAATCATTTGATGTGTACTTTTCACTAACATGGATGAGGCAGGGTTTATGACCAGCCACAAGGGAATTATCGAGACAGTTTGGATTCACCTTTGGGGATCACTCATGTCGTCCATCTTTTCAAACAGTCTATGGGTTCAACACGGCTGAAGAAGTAGTTTTAAGTCAACTTACTCAAAAAACAATCCAACAATCAATGTGAAAAAATATTTAGCTAATTGCTTCTTGTAACTACTGCCGGAGCTTTCTTGTCCACAAATGATGTTGGAATGGACACGTCACGTAATGTACATCATACTGGCTAGGTTAGAAATCTCTCCTTAACAGAAATCAGCTAACATGACTGAAATGAAGCATAATGATAACTCAGTCTGATTACAAGGGTATATCATAAGGTGAAAAATCATTATTTACTATAGCCATGAGCGACTCTATTGATCACCGCACATGGTTTAAAATTAGAAAATATATACCCATGACTTGTCAGGGGAGTTGCTGTTTGCACACGCAGCTGCAATCTCTCTCATCTTTTTCTTTCTCTCTCTATCTCCTTCATGTCATCACACCAGCAAGCATGCATGGCGCTCCAGCTTTTGTGACACAAACACATTACCTCTGCAAAACCTATTTTTCCTTTTCCTAACCTTGTGTGTCGCTCCATGTGTCTCACGGCTCGTTCTACCCCAACACTTCACTCTGCCTGCTCGCCGGGATTCAGCCGCTCACATTACCCGTATCTCACAGGGGCCCATTCGACTCCACACCAAATCTAATAATACCAGCTAATGTCTCCATCACACTCACGTAATGAGCTCGCCGTGGGCATTGGGGACTCGATCACAGACAGAATCTACACACAACCAGCTGGATAAATTACTGTGATGGACTACATCAGAAATGCATGGACAGAAAACAAACGGATTCTTGGTGTTTTAAACAATGGCACAAGCGGCTCAGGTGGCATTCGCTGCTCCTTACCAGTGCTTGAATGGAAAGGGATAAATTAATTAAATGTTGCATCTCATCTTAACTCAGAGGATGAAATGATCCCTGGTTTAAATTGGGAATTGAAAAATGCAACTTCGCATAGTAATCTGAATTTTGGAATATTTGAATCAAAATGTGATGATGTTTGTGTTTTTCTTACGTTGCCAGCTCTGTAGTCCAGGTCTGATGAAGCAGCTGAATATTTAAGTGTTAAATTCTTCATAAATAATAACTAAAGGTGCTTTTGTTTCCAAAATTAACTTTGTTAGATGCTTATTTAGTCAAGCATGTTTAATGTTGGAGAAAAATACTGCACTTTAGATTTAAGAGCTTTAAAGAAATTGATTCACTTTAAGTATGATCATTATCATTATTCATAATCCTCATTATCATTATATTCTAATGTCATCATAACCCAGTGAACCTGTCAAAGGACAAATATACAGTTCATCGCCTATAAAATGTCGTTCATAAAACACCAATAACCTCTCCCGTCATTTCATGCATGCTGTTCCTCACCTGTCCACAAGTTGACCCTACTTCACCCAAACTCATCACCTGCTCGCCATTGCTCATAGTCCCCAGTGTATATACCACACTTTTTCATTGTTTTCTCAGCCATGTTTTTGTTGCCTTAATCTCAATCCCTTTGGTTTTGTCTGTTGCCTGGCTGCTCTAATGGTGCTGATGTGTGTTTTGTCAACTGTTTTTGCCCGAATCTATTCATACCAAGTCTACATTTTTCTGTCAGTTTGTTAAAATCACACACATCTGCTAGTGGACGTTCTCTCAACATCTGCAAACTTGGCCAACTTACCCAAGTCCATTTTAACACACCAATTAAATCAAAAATAAAAAACTATCTCTGTTAGAATAAGTAACCTCCCAAATAAATCAGTTGTTCAAACTCTATAACAATGTGCATTATAAAATATATTTTTGTCCCTGACACTGCACTTCAGTGTCCCTGAACACTATAACTCAATTTAGAAAAGCCAAAGTGTGGTTTTCTGACATTACTCAATGTGACTTCTGTTTTAAAAAATTTAAGCAGCCCTGTCCTTAATCTACTTCATACTTTTCCTCTAAAAGTGTTTCTCTCGCTTCTGAACATATGAAATATTTCTCCCACGTTTATCTGATTACGCAAATGCACATAAAAGTAAAAAATGCAATAGTAATGTGACTTCAAATATTTATACGTGAGGAATTTTCTGTGTTCAAATGGAGGCAAACCCCTTTTTCTATTTAGGTGGTTTGATATTTAAATGTTTCTACCTTCCTGATATTCATGTATTGAGGCCTCCAAAATGAATGTAAAAGCATTTATTTATTTATTACCTGAAACATTTGCTTGACCTTCCTGCGAGGAAGATTGACATTCAGCTTGTGCAGAAGTTGGTAAATCTCCTCGATGTTTAGGAGACCGTCTCCGTTTTTGTCCGCCTCCTCAAATGTCTGCTTCATCCACGTCACAGACTCACACGCTAAGGAAAACTGGGTATGTATCATTAGGATATGTGGTGACTATCAGTTAATCTATGAGCATCTATGAGTAAAAATTACATAAACACAAACTTGTTTTCCTTCCTAGACAACAGTGATGTTGCCAAAAGGATATTGGTTGTGTGTCCGCTGCCGTTTGGCCAGTGAGTCCTCATCACTGATCCCAGCCATCAGGTAGCCGAGGCCCGTTATCCAGGTTCTGGCTTCTTCTGCATTGGACGTCACCAAGTCAAGGGACTCCATGTGGTTGCCATGGTACACTGTGAAGCAGCAGGCTGGGTCAAAGCTGCTGTCTGCATGCCGATGGAAGATGTCTGATTGACCACCCTCTGTCACTTTGTACAGCGAATCAATGGTGACTGATGAAGAGAGGAAGACAGATTGAAAAGAAGAGAACACAGCAGTGAAATGGTTCTTATGGGTAAGAAATCCCATAAAGACATCAATGATACAAACAAGTACAAGTATAGCCTCCACCTCTGTGAGGTAGACCACCATTGTTATTAGCTATCAGTGAGAGGCTGTTGCACTGGGTTACATGTTCCTCAATTACAAAGACACTGTCATTTACTTTGAGTCAGTCCCACATGCATCAATACTTAGCTGTGCCCCAAATGTTTATCAGTCCAGCTGAAAATAGCGCAGCAACATTGGCCTTTCACCACAAATATCCTATCTGTTCATTTCTGAGTCCAACTTAGCATCTATAACAAGATTTCATGAAAATCCCTGAAGGCGTTCTTTAGACATCATGTTCACAAGAATGGGACAGACAGACAACCTGAAAACATCAGCACAGAGGCATAAAAAAGCAAAATGTTTAAATGTTAATAATCGTGTAGTGTATGTGTTCATGTCCCAGTTTGACTGCAGGTTATAGAGGTCTCGTCATTAATAAATAAATATCAACCACTGCCACAAGTCACATCTTAAAATTTTAAAAATAGAATAAAGTATTGTACTGCACTGTATTTTTGCAGTTATAAGACAAAACCTCAGTTTAAATTGTAAGACAATGAATAAATTGTATTTATATGCTCATCACTAACTAGAAATAGGAGTCACTCTTCTGTTAAGGGGTGTGTGTAGTGTTTGCATGTGTGTGCGTGTGTGAATTTACTCACTCTTGGCCTTCTCACTCTTGCGTGAGGGCTTCCAGCGGATGCAGGACCGATGCTCATCCAGGTAGAAGAGTCTCACCAGCCCTTTCGATCCTGCCTTCAGCTTCACCATCTGTGTCCCGGACTGCATCACACTCATGCATCGCTCCACTGCAGATGAAAACACAAACACTGAGGTCAGAGGAGCACTATATTAAGACACAAAGGAAACAGGTGTCTGACTTTGTCCTCTTTCAGGAAGAGGTCCGGCAAAGTGTCACGGAGTCGCACAATTAGCGGAGCAGGCAGCAGCTGATGTGGGTCAGAGTCCAAACTGCAACAGAGACGCCACTGTGTGAACACACAGGGCTGCTTTTCTGTCGTCCACTGACCTGCTCCTGGAAGCAGCTGAGAGAAGGAAGAGAGGGATCTCACAGAGACATAGCTCATGTGTGTCTCTCTGTTCTGAGTTTCACAGGAGGCCTACAGGCCCTGAGGCAAGAAAATGTCTTCATCATGCTGCTGAGGCAGGTGGAAACTCTGCGAGGGCTGCTTCATCAGATCATACAGATTAAGAACTTGCAACAAGGTTCTCCAAAATAACAATAATAGAAAGTATATCAGTTTGTTGTGATATCACTGACTAAAATGTTGGAAAATAACTTTTCATAAATAAAAATTAATTTCAAAAATTCAACGTTTTCTTTAATCCCTGCATCACTGGATTGTCAACCTCATTGAGAACAGCATACATTGGAACTATTTCATCTTTACAGACTAGCTCTACATAGATCTGTGTCCAACTGAGGATCAAGGAACAGTCAGAAAGTTTGGGTGACTTATAAGATTGTTTCTTTCCTGAAGTGTCTCATTTAGTTTTTTGTATATGGAAAAGGTCTGCAAAGTTAAAAAGCTCAAAATCAGAAGGGAGCTCCTCAGTCCGCCAGATACTTCCAAGGAATCATGATGTCATGTGATGTGATGGGCCACATTTGTATAATGTGCACCTATAGTGGCAAATCTGGCACGCCCCTCAACAAAGCCAGGTTAAGCAATAGCAGAGACCGAAATTTCCTACATGCACTGGAAGCAGTTGACCAATCACAACAGTGTGGGTCAGCTGGCCAATCAGAGGAGACTATGCTTTATCAGGAGGGGGGACTTAAGAGACAGGAGCTAGAACCAAGAGACAACCCAAATTACATTTTTGAAATGATGATATGAGCACATGTCTCTATTTGAACAGGCTGCATTGAACCAAATTTAATGTAGCAAGGTGTTGGTACCAGCTCCTATTGCGTTATATTAGTTTTACATAATAATGCAGTCTCCACCACGAGTCACGACACACCCACATGCTGATTGCATGTTCACTGTAACATTCTCACACTGAGCACAAGCTGATGACAGTTCACTGCCTGCATCGCAATACATTGCACCGCAGCATACAATATGTATTTGAATCATATCCTCGGAAGAGAAAACTCCATCTCTGGCAGTCATCTGGAGTTAAAGGTTCAGTTAAAGACACTTGAATTGAGCATTAGAAAGGGTGGAGAGGGATAATAATGGTGGAGTGAAGAGAAGAACAAGGGACTGCGATGATGCTGAGAAGTGACTGTCTGTTTGATTGCTTGGCTGCCTTCTACTGTCCAGCATCAGAACAGCATAAAAGACAAAACTTCAAACTTTTTACTTTTCATGACAGCTGGTGGCAGGAATACAGACAGCGAGATTTCCATCCTCATTAGTGGAGTGTGTGCATGCCTGCCTGAGTGTGTGTGTGTGGCTGAGCATGTGCTTTCATGCAATATGTCTATTTTTATGTCCCAGTATGCACATATAGCCCATAATTTGTCTTAAAAAAACATAACTATGACAATGAAATGGTAATATGTAACTGATAAAATTCCTTCTGTGCAGCATATATGAAGTTATTTTTTTCACGTTCACAAAGAGACGCTCATTCCCCCAGATGTCTTGTTAAGAGAGTGGAGCTTATGTCCCTTTGTAAATATAATGATTGTGAAGTAGAAATAGAGAGTAAAATCCCGTCTGTCTCAAAGACAGAACACTAAAACAAAAGGTTGCATGTAGTAAAATAACAATATGCACATCCGAGGCTAACAAAACCAATTGTTATCAATCATTTAGTCTTTTATAAAATCTTCCCCGGTCATAATGGAGAAGCTGCCACTGCACAAGATTCAATGTACTGAATGTTAATGTGATGTGAAATGCCTCAGTATGGAGCTGTCTGCTTTACTGGAGTTTCTGAGAGGAACATACTTATAAAAGCTTCAGTTGGTCAAATGTTTGTCACCATAAGAGGCTGGAGCTGAGTTTTCAAATGGATCAAATTTCTAAGAGACACGTACACATCCTTAAATTCCTGGGGCTAAAATAATCTGTACTGAAAGTTTGACAGTTAAAAAACAAAAAAATATTCTGTGGTGTCACTCGGCATTGCATAAGTAACCAAAACTCTGTGTCACGGTCATTGTTTTACCCACTAAGTGCAGTTTAAAATAAATGGAGGGGCTCAGGCCCTCAAGAGCTACTCCTCCAAAACACTTAACAGTCAACACTGCACTTCCTGGGAACCTTGAAAATAAATCCACCAAGTCTGTTGTCGATGCTCTGAGCAGTTGTTGAAAAAAAATCGAAGTAAGAAAGAAAGATAGATTTGTAGAGTCTAGACACTACACCCAGATATATTAGCATATATACAGTCGAAGTTTTAGCAATGGTAAATTGAATTTTAGGAAAAAACAAGCAAACAATAAAATCTAATAAACAGAATCTGAGAAAATCTCTGTAAACTTCAAAATGGCAATGAGGCATCATTCAAGTTAAAGCTATTTAAACATTTCTAAAGCAGAACCTCTGTGTCCTCAATAACTCTGAAACGAAGGTTTCAGACCTCTTAGTAGATTTGGACAAACTGAAGACCCTCTTTAAAAACAAGGATGGACAGATTCAAGGTCTTCAGATTGTAAATCTTCAAACTGTAACCTTGGAAAATGACAAAATACAAAATGTTCTAAAGCTGCGGAACATGTATAATCTTTCTAACCTTTCAAGGATGCAGAGAAGTACGCATAAGAGTCAGGCATTTGCACCCAAAATATAAATATTCCTATTCTGTGATGACATGGTTGATTATCTTCAAAGTCAAATAAAGTCAATCTTTATTGCATTCAAAACCCATGTTTACGTACTTAACAGAACACATGCTGAGTATAGAGCACTTGTTAAAGGGCTCTCTGTCCTGGGGACAAGCTCAGCAATGACACAAATTTCATTCTCGATATTTCTCAATTCGAAGATGCTCACTCCAGGGACTTTATTACACACACACACACACACACACACACAGACAGGAATGAGCACATGAATCTGAGCCCTGCAGTCTCCCAAGGTGCATGACAAATCATGAAAGCACTAATGGTCCCACAGCCTGCTGTGTTGATAACTCAATGGAGTATGTGGGGAAAGAAACAAGCAGCCAAATAACTAAAGCAGTGCACTTGGGTTCTGATTCCCCTTAACCGACGTCACTGTTGGTTTACCAAGTCAGGGCTTCACCAGAGACACATCTTCTCGTGGTCAACGTAAAAACAAGTCTGTTCATAGGTTGTGCAAATAATTGGCTTTCAGGAAACTGATATTTCTTGCTGTTTCCAGCATGTCTGGGATAGAAGTGACAAATACAGATGGTAAGATTAGACTACTTTAATTTCTAAGTTAGTTTGAGGGTGGCATGATGGTCAGTGGTTGGAACTTTGCCCCACACCAAGAAGGTTCTCATAGGGAGTGTTGTATGTTCTCCATGTGTCTGCATGAGCTTTTCCCTGCTTCCTCCCACAGTCCAAAGACATCTATCCATCCATTATCTATAATGCTTATCCTTTAAGAGTCAATGGGAGGTCCAGCCAACACTGAGCAAGAGGCGGAGGTACACATTAGACAGGCTGCCATGGCGAATAACATGGCCAGCATATAGAGACAAACAACCTATGGTCTCCTAATTTAAACTGGAATTTAGAGTCTCCAGTGAACATATCAAGAGTGCCGGAGCACACGGTTAAAACAATACCAGCCCAGGGAAAACATGCAATTCCATATAGATAGCCCCAATCCAAACTGGTACTCTAAACCGAGAACCTTTTTGCTGAGAGCTGACAGTGTAACGTCGAGCAGGACATGCAGATTAGGTTTACCAGAGACTCTAAATTGCCCGTAGGTGTGAATGTGAATTGTTGATGGTTATTTGTCGCTTTTAGCCCTGCAACCTGTCCGGGATGTACCCCGCCTCTTACCCGTGACCCTCAAAGATAAGCGCTGTAGATAATGGATGGATGGTTGGTTAGTTTCGTTGTAATGGATTGCAAAGTTCATCTTTTAAAGCATAACAAAGCTTCTATGCTTGAACTTATGTAAAGTGCAAAGGATTACTGGTGTGAGCATCTGACATGATGAGAGGCACAAAGAGCCGTATTCATTTATTTTTTCAAAATCGCCTGGGAGCGACTATTATTGTGTTTCTGTCCATCTGATGAATTAATGTCCAGTGATCACCCTTGTTTAAGGTTCTGTTCCTCCATCATCCTCTGAGGGAAATATCTGGTTGTCTCACTGCTAAATGACCCATGTTCGCCAGTTAGTCACTAACTTTGTCTGTCTTGGTGCTGTAAGTGCACCGGCTGCCAGTAACAGCTGCCTTTTGTGCCTGGACTTTAAGTTAAGTTTAAATAAAATGCTAACAGGACCATGAAACTGGAGATTAGTCATCATTATTTGATCCACAATCAATATGTATTGCTATGACCTGTCACAATAGCGGCAGAAGACGATAAAAATTTGCATTACACTTTGTGTTACTTGAGGAAATCTAGACAAAAGACGAGGGGGTTTTCTCAGGTTCCTCCAGATGAAGATGAATCAAGGAGAAAATTAATAGATTATATATATTGTACACACACATATATATACACACTCTTAATTTCCTGTCTGGCACTACGGTTTCCCACCAGTTCATTATCTAATAAAACATAGAAAAGATTAGACTCAATTGTTATACCCAATAGGAGAGGATTTACAACACTAATAAATATTACATGCTACATTTATATTCTATATTGAGTTATATGAAGTGTTTTGATCATGAA